GTTATATCTTAAAAATACACATCTTACATTCATAACTCAAACGGTTATTATTAAAGAATCAATATGTTTGTTTTATTAAAGTTATTGTTGAAAAATAACAAGAATATTTATTTCTTACTTGTGCTAAGTAAAAGAAATTAATGCATCTTTTGTTATAGGAAAAAAGTTATGGTTCTTTCTAAAACCGGGTGTCCCAGAAGTCTTAGTGCTGCGTTAAACTGTTAGAGCTAAGGGTGCTAAAGCTATTACCGATTGAAATCACACTGAGACTTTTGGGACACCCTGTAAATCATGGCGAAACTCAGAATGGTTTGTTTTTCAGTGAAATACATATACCTACTTCAATTAGCTCCCTTAAATAAATAAATAAATAAATGAATGAATGAATAAATATATAAATAAATAAAGCTTTCATCTTTTGATGTACCTGAAAAATTAATGTAAAAAAAAAATCACTGTTTTAAAATGAATAAGTACCTTCCCCAAAAGTAACCAAAATCTGCCTCTGTAAATTTTGTAAATGTTCAGGAAAAAAAATGCCATGAAGGACTTCAAAATCAGAAAGCCTCTATAACTCCCTGTTTCCGATATCCCTCAATTCACAAATTCACATCACCAAAATCGTTACCTGTTAACAAAAGTTCTGTAATATACTGACATTAGCCATGGTTGCCAAGATGAATGTTATTCACCATTGCTGCTACTATTTTTTGTGGTCAAAAAAGTTTGATTTCTATCTTAAAGGGCTTTTGCAAATAAACAAGGCCATTCCCATTCACTCATAGGATTTAAGCAGACCAGATTAAAAGGGATGTTAGTCCAAATTTGTGCTCAAGTAAAGGTCATTTTCCACTGCTCTTATTACTTTATTGGTGTAACTGAATAGACTTTTAATAGGGTCAAACTTATATTAAAAATTCAACTCTTTTTGTAGGATATGAAAGAGGGCCTCATTTAGTAGTGGTTCAAATCAACTCTTCCTCTCGACACTAATTACTCACCCAAAGAAATAAGATGAGACCTCAGCATTCAGTCTATCCAATTTACTACAGCTTGTTAGGATGGCTCCCAAATGGTAAAAGCCCGAATTGTACTTCCAATTTCAGGCGAACTAAAATGAGGGAATCTTTCTTTCCTAGTCTCTGTGTATAAACACAGCTGAAGACAATAATGGATAAAGAGATGGGTAAAAATACATTAAGGATGCAGATTTTAAGCAGTGAGTATAGGCCTCAACGTATAAAACACTTGAGAGCATTGTAACTTTTTGTTTCATGAAAGACTTCTTTGTTACTAATGCTATGTATTGTTTATGACCTAAAAGTAACAGAACTATAATAATACATAATTATATAGAAATATCTCTAATTCTTCTCTGAATACTTAACGAATTAGGTGGCTGAGAAGAGAGTTTGCAAACAGACTTCTCAGGAGAACAGGGAGCAAGGTATGTGTTCACAGTTCACATAGCTTATTGGCAAAGGGAGCCAGCCTCATGATGTATTTCTGATTCATACCCCTAAATCAAACTTTTTTTTCCTGGTATAAATTTAAAATGTCCTAGGGACTTTGGAGTAGCACTGTAATTTTTCTACAAGTAATTTATCATTCTTTTAAAATAAATAACACTGAAATATATAAGGCAGCAAAGACCTAATTTCTAAAGAACAGGAAACTAGCTCTTTTCAAAGAAAATGCTACATTTATCATTTAAAACTGCAATTCCAAAAATTGTTTTCCAAGTAGCTGAATTGTGAAGATCTAATAAAAGAGGTAACACATGTCCATGTTTTGGTTTTAATAAAGTTACAGATTGGTTAGGGGGTTCTTTGGGCTTTTACAGAATCCAAACCCACTCTCCTCATCCCAACATGGTCAGGCTGGAATCTGACTTAAGCAATGTTAGAGAAATGCTTTTCCCCCCTTTTTCTTAAAGGGGGTCATTTTGTCTCTGAAACTATAGAATATAATTTCTACTTTGAGCGGCTTCCTGTTTTATTGATGCCAATGTTAGTTTCAATAATGCTGGTTTTACTGTGCTTCTGGTTAAAAACTAGAAAACAAAGGGCTGAAGAGGAATATTTGATAAAAATCTAGTATCAGAGCAACAGAAGTAGGGTTTTTCCTATATCATGTAGCCAAAAAAAAAAAAGCTATGCTAGTCCCCAGCTGAGTCTTAAAATTTAATATACCCATCTAGTTTGAAAGTTATCAGCAGCATGCTGAATATCATATATCATTTGATTTAAACAAAGGAGGAAGAAAGTCATTTGTGTAAAGTATATGTTATGACAAAAGAAAAATGTGTAGTAATATTTTTGCATTTTCCTTGTTGACTGGTATGTTCCTGATTGAACTGTACAAACGTTTATTAAGCACCTACTGTTAACTAAGCTTTGGGAAAAGAAAGATGACAGGGTATTTTGCCCTCAAAGAGTTTATGATATAGTGAAAGGGGGTTGATTGACTCTAAGATATACAAATAACCATGATTTAAGGGAGAAAATGGCCTCAATTGAGTCACATTATTCCGACTCTCAGGTTGGATGGGGACAGCAGAGGTCATCTGGCCCTACCTGTATCTGGGTAACAGTCCCCTGTACGACATATATAACAAGTATCCAGCCTTTCCCTGAAGACCTTCAGGGGAGGAGAACATAGCCCTTTTTACTTTGGCTTAAACTGTCAAGAACTTTTGTTCTCTTATCAAGTCTCAAATTCTAACTCTCCAAAACTTTTCTTAATTACCCCTTCAGCTCTACAACTATGATTTAGTAATTATAAATATTTAATTTCTCATGTAAAATTGTCTATTACTGCATCAGAGCTAAAACCGAGGCTACTCACAAAAATGGAGAACTCAAGACATTTTATTGCATCAATAAGAAAAATCCTAAAATTTGTCTAGTATTATTTACAAGAAAATGAATGATCGATGTATAATAAAAAAAACCAAACACCTCAAGGTGTTTTTTTTTCCCCTTTCGGTATTACAACCAATGATGTGGAGGCTGTCTGTCCATCATTTTATTACAGTATTAATTTTCAAAAGTAATTTCCCCCCTGATATTTCTATCAACACTCATGTCCAATTTCTAATGAGAACAAGGAGTTAGCTCTACATTGCCATATAGCTATGCTTTCAGATCAGAGAATGATCAGTTTACTATGGACAAGAGGGCTACAGGGCACCTGAAGTCCACTGTGGTCAGGCAGTACTTTGTACAGGGTCCCTTTTATGAATAAGTAATTCATTGATCTCTCCACAGAAAGAAACTTTCTTTTCACAACTTGTAAAAAAAACCAAAACCACACATATGAAGTGAAAAGTAGCAAGACTGATAAATTAATATACTTTAATTAAAATATGCCCGAAGTCAATTACCCCGTCCAAGTGTTCAATAATTAATTTAAGCAAATTACCAAAAGAAATACACCTATGCATTTTGGCCCTAAGCTCATTAGGCAAAGTTACTTTAAAAGCCCTTAATGTTTCCAGATCAAAATAATAAATATTACAAGCCCAAATAGTACTACAGTTCAATATTACCAGAACATTACTATTGACCACTCTGATTTTATGGACTAGTGGTCTCAGCAGTACCATTCCTGGGCTTCAGCCGACTCAGCTTTCAATAACTATTGCAAATGCCAAATGCTCCGCAAACTTTCTCACCAAGGCATTTCAAGAAAATGTCGCTGATGCGAGCTGACTCACCCAAGTTGTAGAAGTTAGTAACGTAGAAGGTGCCGACGCAGCCCTCCTACCCCTTCTGATCAAAGTGGAGTAGCTGCTCCTCCTCTTTACCTGACCCCATATAAAAGCCATGACTCGGTGACTCCCAGTTTCCGGCTCTTTTTCCCTGGCCCCTCCCCAAAAGCCAAGGCACAAAGTACCACATTTCTCTTCTTCACTCACACCCACCTTCCACCCCCAGCACCAAGGGACCTGTCATCTCTGTTTACCTGACCGACCTCGTTTCCCCCACAAGAGTCTAGAGGAGCATAGCCTGATGCTGTCCCGCGCCCTGCCCACATGGCATCGAGGGACTCAGCTTGGCAGCACTGGGCACACTTGGGAGCTTCTAGTACCAGCATGTTCATCCTGCTGCTGGGAAGCAGGCTTGGCATCCCTGGGCCCCTCCTGCCCCGTGCATGCTCCCTGCACTTCGTGAGGTCTGGCGGTTGTCATCACCTGTTCCTCCCTGCACTACTACTCCACGGCAGACCTGACAGACCGAAAGACAGTCAGACAGAGAGACAGATGCTCTGTTCCCATGCTTAGGTCGGCAAGGCCGGGGGGAGCCACTTGCATGGCGTCCGTCCTTCATACACGGCATGTAGTCCCCAGAAAACTCCCCCCCCAGTCTCAGGGGACACCGACCACCCTCCCCCAGCCCTCCTTATTCCAGGGCACTCAGATTCAGCTACCTCTGACCCCAGGTCCTTTAAGTTCTACGACCCCTTTCCAAGGACACTTAGCCGCTTGTCCTCCTTAGCCCTGGAGCCAAGCCTCGGTGTCCTCTCTCTTCCGTGACATACAACCCCAGGGCCCCTTATCCCGAGCAGGGGACACGCACCCTCCGCGTCGTCCTCTCGGCCCAGAGTCTTCTCAGCCCGGGCCACATGAGCTGCGAGTCCCTTTTAGTAACACGGGCACACACAGCCCCGCATGCCCTTAAACTCGGGCCACTAGGCACGCCTATGAATCTTTATCCCAGGACATCTAGGTCCGTGACCCCCGTAGTCCGGGACACAGCAGCCAAGTAGGGAGCCCTGATTCCAGAACTCTCAACTGAGCTAGTGTTCCTGGCCCCAGGACACCCAGCAGCGTGAGCGCCCCTGCCTGCGGGACACACAGCAACTTGAGTGCTTCTGGCTACAGGACACCCAGAGGCGTGAGGGCTCTTGGCCCCAGGCACCCAGCCCCAGGCTGCTTTGGACAGCCCTCTCCCCAGTTCCCCGCGGCCCGCGGCCCAGCCCAGCGGGGGCGCTCTGACCTGAGGGCGGGTGGCGTCCCTGGCTCCCAGTGTCCGCCCCAGCTGAGCCGAGCCAGACCCGGCAGCTCCTGTGGCTGTGACGGCGGCTGCGGCTCCGAAGTGTCAGCGCGCTCTTCCTGCCCGACCGCCAAGTGGGGCCGGGGCCGGGGCCGGGGGTGGAGGCTGGGAGCAGGGTCCTGGACTGGGAGGGGGCAAGGAGGGAGCAGAGGGGAGGGGAGGAGGAGGAGGAGGAGGAAGAGGAGAAGGAGGAGTAGGAGGGGAGGAGGAGGAGGAGGAGGAAGGGGGCGGGAGAGGGGGCGGTGCGCAGGGACCTGCGCTCCCCGCGCGCTAGCTGCTCTCTGGCTGGCTCGCTTGCTCCAGTAGGGAGCCGCTTCCGACACAGCACTAGTCCGGGGCCAGCCCCGGCAGCGCTCTGGTCTGCTCGGCTCTCCGGCGGTCCCCGCCTCCGCGATGGGTCCAAGGCAGCCCGGAGTAGGGCCGCGGACAGCTCAGCCTCCCAGGAAAGACCCTACCCCCCACCCACCCTGGGGAAATAACTTTGGGGTCGGGGTTGCACAGGCGGGGCAACAACTCGGCTTACCTCCGGAACCCCCGGAGAGCCTCCGAGGGTCCTGGGAGTGGAGAGAAGGGCAGGGCAGAGTTGGAGAGGCCGGGGTAGGGACTTTGCATCTGGAAGAGAAAACCGGGTCAGAAGCGCTCCAGTTACTTAAGTCTTAAATTGAGTAATATCTGTTACACTGAGCAAGAATGGAAGCTCCTTGGGGACAGTCATATTTAGACTGGAAGCTCCTTGGGGACCGATAAACTGGAAGCCGTTTGAGGACCGACCCAGACTAGTAGCAGTGATTCCCAAACTCTTCTTGCTTCCTGCATAGTAATTTTCTTTGTAATGAGGGACTTTGTGGGGAGAGTCGGGACACTTAAGAATGCGCAAGTGCAGTCATGCAAATGCAAAGGATTGCTGGGGTTTGTTGTATACAATTTAAGGGTCTAGAACTTTGCGAATGCAATTGTAAATTCCAAAAGATTCCCTGCTCCCTTAGCGAAATTCCTTCAGGGCATACTCATTTGGAACCCCGGCACTCGCAGCTCCTCCGCCACATACCTCTTAATTCCTTCTGCACAGGTTTAGACTGGAAGTTCCTTGAGGACTGCAAAGCAGTTTTAGGCCAGAAACTCCTGGGGGACAAACTTAAACCAGAGATCAACTTAGAATTCGATTGGCCATTCCTCAAAGACAGACAGAATGGAGACTAAGGCCAGTCTTAGACCGGAAACTCCTCACTGACAGATAGAAAGTGCCTCATTCAGGATAGACCTAGACCAGAAACCGGGGCGAACCGGGGCACACTAAGACTGCAAGCTCTTTGTCAGCAGCCTTAGTTTGCAAAGCTTTTCTAGGGCAGAAAGGTTCCTCCTGTATCTGCCCAGGAAAAAGCATCTGGAATGCTAGTGAGTGGGTTGGAAGCCCAGCCATGTCACTTGACCCATGTAAGACCTTGATGAGTCATTTTCCCTTAGTCCCTCAGTTTCCCTCAGCACTACAGTTTCCTAACTATAAAATGAGTTGGACTGGGCCAGGCCATCTCTAAGGTTTCTTTCCAGCTCTAAAGCCTTCCACAACAGATTTCGAAGGTGGGCTAGCCCTTTAGTAAAATAAGGGGAAAAGTGACTGGGCACATGCAATCTTTCTTTGGATAGGGAGAGCCTCCAAACGGCACTATTCTTCCTTTGCTACAGTAATCCAATTCACGCGCAAGTCATAGCATCACCTCTCTGATGTCATGGTCCCAGAACAAAGGACAAACAACTACAAGAGCGTTTACTAGTCAAGGGATCCCCACCAACTTTGTCATTGGGAGGGGTTATCAATCTTCTAGGTCCTCCTCTTCCCCCATCTCATCCCACCCAATCCAAGCACTAAGAGTAAACATACATAGAAACAACAGGTCGAAAGTGAGAGCCGTTGAGAGATACACTCACGGCTTCCTAGCATCGTGATATTGTGGAAAGAGCTCTACTCTGGAGACAAAGGTCCTGGATTCAAATTCTACCTCATGCTTATTTGTATGTTCTTAACATACAGGTTAAGTCACTTAAACTGCAGCCCGTTTCCTCGTCTGTAAAATGGGGTGGGGGCTGGATTAGATGGTTTCTGAGGTCCTTTCCAGTCCTAAATCAGTGATCCATATTTCCATCCTTTTCCCCTAAATCTTGTTTCATTTGAGCTATAGATCATCTTATATATAAATGCCCTCTCTATGTATCACATATTTGGAAAGGTAGTATGGACAGGTGAAATGAACACCAGATTTGTAGTCAGAAATCCTGGGTTCAGTCCTGGCTCTGGCATGTATCAGACATAAGACCCCATCTGGTGGTCTCTCCAGTATCAGTGTCACCTCATTGTCCTGAGGCCTTTCTCCACCCCTTTCAATACCCCCTCTCCCCACCAAGTGGAAGTGTATTTAAAGTTGCTGAGAGCAGGCAGTTTGTAGTACTCATCTCAGGCACAAAAACTCCTAGTTTATGACCCTGTGGGAACATTTTTTTAACTTCTTTTCAAAAAGCAATTCCAAGTATATTAAAAATAACCAGTTCTCCAGTTCTACCACAAATGACCTAACTGAAAAGCCTTCTGATGACAAAAAGGTGTGAAACTCCTTTTCATCTATGCTGATGAAGAGCACACCTTGCTCCTAACCAAAAGGGCACTTATTTCAGTTTCTTGGGCCATCCCTCTTCCCTGAATCAAAATCTCAAATGGGAAAAGTGCCACCAGCCATCCAACCTCAGATGAATCAGATTCTAGTTACAGAGCATTCATAACTGAAACCACTCAGGAGTATAAAGCAGACAGACTCTAACACCTTCCAGCTCAAAGATACTCTTCTATTATGTTCGGACTACTTACTACCTTCCTGTTATAACAATGAAGCAGAATGGTGTCGGTTCATCGGATCATGAGTCCAGAGCTACAAGGGACCTTAGACATCATCTAGTCCAATGGCCTCATTTTATACATACACACACTGAGGTCCAATTAAGTTGACTAGTCCACGGTCATCCAGACAGTGAGTGGCAGAGCCAGGATTCCAGATCTGGGCCTGATGACTTGAGATGATCTGTTGGGTCTTATGGTCGTTCCACTTTCCCCCTTCTTCCACTCATGGGCTAATACCTCCTTCCACATGCTGCTATTCCCGTTGGTTCTTTGAATTGGATACAGGATGTTCCAAGAGTCTTAGACTAAGCCTAAACTACACTAACACTTTTGGAACATCTTGTGTTTTAGGTTGCAGTTTTTTTGAATCCAAATCAAACACACTCACCCACGTTTCAAATAAATATATGTGGTTCAAATATATATGTATGTATATAGATTATATATATGTTGTTGGCCAGTAGTGTCTGACTCTTTGTAACCTTTTTGGGGTTTTCTTGGGAAAGATACTGGAGTGGTTTTGCCATTTCCTTTTCCAGCTTATATTTACAGATGAGGAAACTGAGGCAAACAGGGTTCAAGTGACTTGCCCAGGGTCACACAACTAGTAAGTGTCTGAGGCTAGATTTAAACTCAGGAAGATGAGTCTTCCTGATTACAAGGCCAGTGCTCTATCCATTGTGCCATCTAGCTGTGTATGTATGTATGTATGTATGTATGTATGTATGTATGTACGTATGTATGTATGCATGTATGTATATATGTACATATGTATTTCTAGATATGTGTATACATGCATATAGAAAGAGTTCATATATGTATATAATTCATATCTATGCCTTCCTTCTCACTAAGGAAATTTCGTCCCTTCTGTTTATAATTGTGCAATAAAAATACATGCCATGTGGGGAGGAAATAGAGGTCTAGTAATGTGGGTTGACTATAATTGAATTGATTTCCATAGTATTCTGAACATACTCAGATTGGCTCCCCTGGGAAAAGACTCCAGACATTTTAATATGCTGTGTTTAAAAAAAATTCAGTAGAATCTTTCTTTAAATAAGGTGACTCAGTCAAGGGTTCAGAAAAAGAGTACAAGAACGATTTCACACTTATCCTAGTATTTCATTACTCTTTACTCTCCTAGAAGGACTAAGAAAATGAATGTTCTAACTTTTGGTAGCTGTACAGTCTTGTACAGCTGTGCTTACACTTGCTCCTTCTCTTTATATTTTTATAGTTTTATTGATGCAGTTTTCTTTTACACCACCTTCATTTCTCAATATTCTCCCCCCACTCCCACCCCCATTTGAATCTTCCTTTATAAGGGAAGACAATTAAAGAAAAGCAGCCAATGCATATAGTGACTACACCTTTCAGCTCATGAAACTTTCTATAACTGTTGTCTCCTATCTCTCTACTGATAGGCGAAAGGCTCATTTCAACATTTCTTCTCAGGGACCATGTTCCTTCTTTTTAGCTGGTGTCATTTATCAGCCTATAGTTATTATAAATTCAAATCTACTTTTTGTAGACCACAAGGATCATCCCATGAACAAGTATGGAAGTAGATCTTTGCCCTGGCCCTTTCCACTGGGGTTATATGTACTCTGGTTCTTTACTAAAGAACTGCATGACCAGCAGCTTTTAGTGGGGCCCTTGGTTCCTGTGACAGAGGATCTGCGTGAAAGAGGGTTAGTGATGGAACCAGGAAGAACTACTCACTTGGCAGGTTATAAGGAGCAAGGATAGATTGTTTCTGGTTCCTTTCAAGGCAATCTGTTGGTCCCTTCTTCCCAGAAGCCATCAGAAGTTCATTCAAAATCAGAGCCAAAACCATCAGAACCTGGGGAACTCTGGATAATTTGCCTAGATAACAGGGAAATACCACAGTCACATTTCCATGGCAGTGAGTCTGTGGGAATGGCAAAACCAGATTGTAAGTAGTAGCAAAGAACTAGAAACAGTAGATGCCCATCAAATGGAGAATGGTGAAACAAGCTGAGGTATATGAATGTGATACAATATTATAACACCATAAAAAAAGAGACTAGAAGATTTATATGAACTGATGCAAAGTGAAGTAAGCAGCACCAGGAAACAATATACATTACTACAACAATGTAATGTGGAAAAAACAACAACAATAGTCAGACCCTAATTATAAAGACCAGGCTTGACCCTGAAGAAGAGGTGTGAGAGTGTATTTCTACCCTTTCTATAGACGTGGAACATTGAATATAATAATGGACAA